GTATTCAAATATGTTATTTCACAACCAAGGATTTATTCATCATATTCAGAAGGTCGGAAAAATCATCATTCATATTGAGATATTGAAACAACATTGAAGAATGGAGCGGGTGTGCTTTATCCATGTAAAACCGAATCAAAAGTTTCTTGGTATAATTTGATTGGTGAATAAAAATATCATTCCAAATGTTCAATTTGAATGACGAGATAAAATTTTGTTCTCCCAGGGTCTTTCATTTCAAATTCTTTCATAGATATTTTGTAGTATTTTCAATTTTATTGGGAGTTCCAATAATGTTTGAATCATTAACATATACTGCAATTATGGCGAATCCCGATTCGGATCGCCGAATAAAAACATATGGACTAATAGGATCAATTTTATATCCTTCTTTAATTAAATATTCACTAAGACGGCTATACAACATGTGTCCAGATTGTTTTAATCCATACAATGACTTTTGCAATTATATGGAAAATAAATCTCGTGATTTCGAGCTATAAGCATCAAGTATTTTAAAGCCTCCGGGAATCCTCATATATATGTCTGTATCGAGTGAATTGTATAAATATGCAGTCACTACATGCATTAGGCTCATTTGCAGACTTTAAAAAACTGACATGCCAATTAAAAATCTTAATGTTGTAGCATCAACTACTGGAGAATATGTCTCATCATATATTGTAGAGATAAATATTGTAATTATAGAAATAAATATTGTAATTATACTTACAATTATCATTATATAAGTAATTACAATTAAAGATATAATTACAGTTATAATTGTATCTATAGTTATAATTATCAGAAACATTCAGTTCAGATCAGAACAGATCAGAAAGATTCAGACCAGATCAGAAAGATTCAAATCAGATCAAAATTTAAAAAATTCAGATAAAAAACATTCAGATCAGGTGAAGAGAACAATTTCTTACTCCTTTAGTACCATTATAATGGTCGCATATTTTTTTATCATCTCTCATTAAATTTTTCTTATACCATATTTATTAATATCTGTGTCTCTAAATAATTCTTAGTTTATTTCAATTTTATAAAATTCATTATCAACCACATAACTCTATTTTTCTTAAAAATCACACCATTCTCCTTGATCCTAATATTAAGGGGATAGAGGCAATAGTATATTTGTTATTCCAAAAACGCACCACACAATTATGATATAAAGGGGATGGTGGGTGATGGAGTATATGGCCCAGGAACCCCCGGCCCATAGACTCCTACTCCTCCTACACAGGCCCATTGAGCCCAGGGGATATCTCAGGCCCAGGATACACACTGAGGTGCCTTCGGCCTCCTTGGCCGAAGGCTCCGAATCACATGAAGCAGCCAATTTCGAGCAAACAAAGCCACTGGGAAAAAACGGCAGAAACAGGAGCCCTCGGCAGTATGAGCCCTCGGCATTCGGGAAGCCTTCGGTTACACAGGGCCTTCGGCTACACGAGGCCCTCGGTCAGACGAAGCCCTCGACCCCACGAGGAGCCTTCGGCTAACAACCCAATCGTCGAAGATTCCCTTTGGAGACAGCCAACCACCGCATTTAATGCGACGTCACATCCACCCACCGCATTCAATACAGTGAACATGCCACTGTCAGTGCCACCCGATTGATGTGACCCTTCGGCCGTTGTATTACTGACACGTGTACTCTCATCGCATTTATTGCTGCTATAAATAGCAGCCCCAACTCTCCTTGTAAGACAGGCTGAGTTCATTTAATAAATCGACTCTCTCTCTCCTCCTATTTTGCTCTGACTTCTCTCTAGTTATTTCCGCAATAACCCCTCGGATAAGATACCCGGGTAGACTGTCCATCATTTGGTGCTCTCGTTGAGAGGTTGAACACAATCAAGTGAGAAAACCTTCCCAAATTATCCAAAAAATTTACCCAAACCACAAAGAATCAGCAAGAAACTGTTCTGGAAAATAAAGAAAAAAAGAAAAATGCCAGCAAGAACGGATCGGAAACGAAGAATCTGACATTTCCCAAATTTCTGCTGCAGCAGCCGGAGCTGACGACCGCGCCGCCTCCGTGCATCATTAGCTGAGACTCGCTGCTTGTAGGAAGTCACCTACTCCCATCCCAGACCTGACCGGAGATGTCATCACCACTCCGGCCGCCGTCACGCGCCATAGCAGAAGTTTTCCGCCCGCTGGAGCTCGCCACCCATTTCCAGATCTTGGTCGCCGCCGTCCATAGTAAGCTGAAGCTGGTCCGCCGCCGCTACTGGATCTCGCCGCTGCAGAGCCGTTGCTTGCAGATATATTCTTCCGCCTCTGTTACAGAGCCACCGAACGACGCTCGAAGCCTGCCTCCTCTCCTCAACCACCGCAGTCACAGCTCCGGAACCAGTCTCTCAGAGCACCCAGTCACGCTCTACCAGTTCGTCAAAGACTCAAGGTTGCCTTTGAGATCTGGCCGATTGGAGACCTCGCCATTGCCGCCATTAATGGCGCTCTGAAGCTCGTGGGGACAACCGGCGACACCACCCGCGAGGTCCCCTGTCAGACCAGAAACCGAGACCCACCAGACAGCGGCCAGCGGCGAGGTACGAACTTCTGGTACGGAATCCGCCACCTCCACCACGGCGTCGCCTGCCTCGCTCTAGGCGTTCCACCACTGTGTCAAGCCCCGTTTCAGCTTCCCGGCGGCTGAGAGCATCTCCGGCTGATTGGAGATTCGTTTGTTTTTTATTCGCTTCCTCTGCGGCTCCACATATCCTAGGTCTTGAAGGGCTGGCTGCAAATGCATCTAACTTGGACAATTGGGCCTCTAACATGGAGTCAAAAATCTATACGGACCAAGACTTCATCAAGCCCAAGATTGACTCTCATTAATAATAATGGGCCGGATCATTTTGTTGGGCAAGTTCTTTCAAAGGACTAGATTTCAACACATGAAGTATTTGGCCCAGCCCACTTCAAAAAGATGAGTATTCTTCAATTTTCTATTATTTATATTTATTTAAATAATTTCTTTTATCTGTTAGATGTCACACTATCACGCACTTATGATCAAATACCTAGTAGAGTGTGGCTTGAGACCCATCACTAGGATTTAAAGCCTTGACTACTCAGGCACAAAGCCCTGTCTCCTCAGGCACAAAGCCCTGACCAAGTCGGGCATGAAGACAAAACCCCGACCAAGTCGGGTACGAAGACCGGTCTTAGTCATTCCTCGAGTGGCGACCGTTGCTTACGAATGGCTCACACATCCATTCTACTAAGTATTTTATCATTACATTAACAATTCACATCTCCACTTGTTTCAAGTGACGAACTCCCGATCGGGAACATAAATCCCAAGAAAAAAATTGTATATGTATGATAAATGTGTAGGTACAAAGATGACTTTACTCATTTTCACCTCGTCTCCACTCGCCTCAAAGAATGGGGACTGGGGGACTGAGGGGTCAGAGTTTCTAGATGAGCAGAAAACATCACGCAAGAGCAGGAACGAGAGCTGAGTCAGTTGAAGAGGAGCTGAGCTAGATTGATTATGGCAGAGAGGATTTACCTTCCTTGTTTCATGTTGGGGGCGCTAGGTGTACTCTTTTTCCCTTTATTAGGATTTTTTCCCACTGGGTTTTTCCTAGTAAAGGTTTTTAACGAGGCACCTCCCCATAATGGACAAGGGTGGTGGTCCCCCGGCCGAAGAGGAAGAACGTTGCAGATACAGTTTGGACTACTCCCTTTCGCCTCGAGTACTCTCGACTCAGGGAGTGGGGGACTCCTGATGGATTATATGGACTCCGACCCCCCGGTATGCCGACTACTAGGCCTGGACAGCGGCCCACACACGTTTAGCAGATATCATTAATATTATTGTACATTATTATTATTATTCAGATGTTCTAAATTAGCTTTTTATACTATCAGTCCATTTATGTAACCGGGTCTGTCAGGCCCATATTAGAGGCCCAAACCCGGATTTTCCCTATATATACTCCTTATAGGAGGCTTGTAACTCATATAACAAAGATTCATTCTATACACATTTCCTTCTTCTTCATCATTCCTTCTCCTACATTCTTGTTCAATTTCTCTTAGTTATAGGTTATGGGTATCAATTATCCAATAGTGGGAGTATAATTTACGGAGTAGAAGAAATCGAGGTTATAAACGAATCAAATAATTTGTGCTCGATTCGCGATTTGAATTCATATAATGTGATTCGAATTCGGAAAATTCAAATACAAATACAAATATGAATATTAAATTTGATTCGAGTTGTTATCAAATTCAAATAAGAATATTATTGTATTCGATTCGAATATTAATCAAATATATTCGATTAATAATAGTGATAATATTAATATTAATATTAATATTAATATTAATATTAATAATAATAGTAATAACACTATAATAACTTTTAAAAGCTACCAATACCTTAAAGTGTAGTTCATATATACATTTATGCATACAAATCCCAAGTCCATTTGTAATAAATCAAAATATAAATACGAATACAAATCAGATTTTTGGTTCAAATGTCTTTCAAATACAATACAAATAATTATGTATTCGATTCGAAGAATAAAATTAGAGATGTCTGACTTTGATATATACAATTATCAACTTATTTCACACATTGTAAGTATAATTTCTAATACGTGTGTTGTGTTTATTTCTAAAAGTTTGAAATAGATTTATATTTGTTAATCATAAAATTGATTCACTTTAGTATATCATGCACAATTTAAATTCTAAAAACACATATTAAGACATAGCGTACATTTACAACATAAAAAAATATAAGAAAAATTATTTTAAAGTGATATTTGACTAATATTTGACCTATGTTCAAATCTATTCGATATTCGTATAAGATTCGTTAACTATTCGTATTATTAAACAAATACCAATACAAATCAAAATTAATATTCGTTTCATATTTGAATTCGAATTCGCATTCGAAAAAATTAATTAAATATTATTCGACTCACTTCTATTCGTATACAACCTAAAAGAAATTGAGTAAATTATTTCCTAATCGAAACCGAGGAAATAAACCTTCCCGACCTAACCTGCGATACCTTGGGATCCATATCGCGGGAGATTGGGAGTGGTAGGCGATTACAGTGGAGCCTCGGCGAATAGCAGATACGAGAGGATTGGGGTAAGTTTTTTCAATTATTGAAATTATTACTATTAATTCATCGCTCACCCTCTATTGTGTACGCCTCAGGCAAAAAATTGCAGTTTTTCATATGGGGTTTAACGCCACACGCCTCTAATCGCACAAGATCATAAAGCGATAGTTCAATTTGACAACATGTGGAATTGGTCATTTTTTCTGAAAATAATTCAAATTGATTGAGGATGTCAAACAAACAATGGGTAGCTTGCTAGGAAGAGCATATTTACCAGGCAGAAAAATACAGTTTAAAAGATTTGTTCTGGCACTAAAATAGTATTAGTTCATGTATTCATCTAATTCGGCACAATACTATTAGTAAATTCTAAATTTAAAACTAGAATAAGCACAATAGCCAAACACCTATCCCTTGTGTGCAATGCAATGTTCCTCCCTATCCTGGGAGCTCTTCTTAATCTGGGGGGTCTAACAAATTAGTCAGTTTGGGTCAGTTGTTTGATATAGATTCAGTACTGTTGCACTTTTTCAGACACTGAAACCAAGCCCCAGGCTGGGTTATCTACTGGGTGAGTACTCGGCGAGTACTCGCAACTCGGGTACTGGCCTTGTCGAGTAGCTACCTAACTCGGTCCGTGTTTTATTTCCGAGTACTCGCCGAGTTTCTCAACTCGGTGGAGTTTTCAACTCGGCAAGTACTCGGTCTAACTCGGTCCCCCCCTTATAAAATTGAAAATTTAAGTTACAAAACCTAGGTTAAATGGAGTTTTTGACATCTACTACCCCCCTGGAGCTGTGACTACGATTTCTCAATAAGTTTTCATCTTCTTTCTCGCATCTTCCCCTGCCCCCTCTCTCGTTTCTTCTTCTTCTTCCACCCTCCCATCCTTCTTCGCCATATGTTCTTTTCAGCATTCTTAAAATATCACCATCTTGATTGTTTAATATTGAAACACATATATATTTTGATATAAATAAATTCTTTTCACTAGTATGACTATATATATATTATACTACGTAATTTTTAATTAATATCACTATATTGATTGTTAACTATGGCACATCATTGATTGATACACTGATACACACTGTCATGCATCATCTAATTGACTTTCATGAACTCTGCTCAGTCTGCTGAGGCTTCTAATGGTGCTGAATATACAAATACTACATTTAAGAGAAAATAAGATGATATAGGATGGACATGGGGAGTGAACAGAGCTATTACCATATTATTAGATGGTTGATTTTCTTGAAGACTTAGAATGTTTATGACTTTTTGCCACTCCATCATTAGCATTTCTATCATTTTATTCATTTCAATGCATTTTAAGATAATTTTAACACTATTATATTTCTATAATCTCGGGCACTTATGCTATGACATCTAATTAATACAAGGCCGAGTAATCCCGAGTAATTGGTCCTACTCGGTCCTTGACCGAGTTACTACCGAGTAGCGAGTTGACTACATAGGTCCCAGGTACAATTTTCCTAATTATACGGAGTATGTATTAACTTAAGTGAGTTAGTCACGATTACAGGTTACAAAGTCACTTTTACGAGTCAAGATTATGTAGTCACTGTAAGTGTATTAAGATTGTGTTTAAAACTTATATGAAGCGTAATAGTCACTACCCGTTACAGTGAGAAGAATGTGTTTGGTTCAGCGTGAAGCTAGTCATTGTATGTCTCTTAAAATAGTATTCGTTCATGTATTCATCTAATTCGGCATAATACTATTAGTAAATTCTAATTCTTCAGCCCACCACACACCCCCCTTCATTCTTCTTCTTCTTCTTCAGCCAGCCCCACCTTCCCCTTCCTGCTTTCTCTTATGTTGACCATCCTCAAAATTTATCCAAGACTCCGGCCAACCTTCTTGACCGGAAATCTCCTAGCATATCTCCAGACTGCTTCACCACCACCATGTCGTGATAAGTTATTCTTACTGCGAAAAATGGGAGACCCAGATGATGAGCTCGTGAAGGTCGGCCGGTGATGTTTTCTTACTGCGTCTAAAATAGGTGGCAGGAAGGATGTCAGGATGTGGGTGGCTGGCTGGTCGTATCTGGCCTCGACGAAGAAAGAAGCTGGCCGGTCGCTTGAGTGGAAGAAGAAAGAAGTAAAAAGGAAGAAGAAAACTAAAAAAAAGGATAATATAAAAATAAGCCACGTTCATTGCCTCATAAGCAAATGACAGGCTAACCGGCAGGCAATCCTCTAAATTTTAAATTTGAGAGTTTATACATAGTTCTTTCCATCATTTGCAATGGAGCCAAAGATTCATTATTTTTTGGCTTGAGAATATGATGGAATAAAGCAAAATGGCTCATTAAACTGTCTGCACTTCTTTGTTATGAAGCAGCAGTCCATGCAATTTTGGATGCGATTTTCACTATGGGTCATCCGGAAACAGTCTCTTTGTGCTTTAGTACAGGGGTAAGACTGCGTACATCCGACCCCCCCTTACCCCACCGTAGGTGGGAGCCTTTGCGTCACTGGGGTAAATGAAAATGAAATGAAATGATACATAGTTCATGGGTTTAATTGGGTGTTTGTTTTGTTGGAGGGCTTAATTGACTTTTTGGGTATACTTCGAGGGCCAATTTGACAGTTTTCCCTAAAATTAAAGTCATAGTCGAATTATTGGCCTTGTTATTTATTTACTCATGATTTTGTTTATGTAGGTTATACTTAAGTTTTTTTTATGAACTAGACGGCCTAGGCTGAAAAAACTCTTTGATAGATAACGGGAAATAATGGCCATAGCCAAAACCCTTTCAATTTAATATCAGTTGGGAGATAAATTCTTTTTACCCACCCGCTGCTTTTGTTTTTTGCAGGGAATTACTTTGTCGGATGTAGGAAGAGATCATAGAAGTCGAGTAAAGTGAAAGATAATGATGATTAGCAGCAACAGAATTAGCAATAAGGATGAAGAAGCTGATGATGACAAACAGAGGGAGTGGTCGGATCTGTGTGAGGACCTCTTGTCTTCCATACTCTCACGGTTAGCCATTGGAGACTATCTTACTTTCAAGTCGGTATGTAAATCATGGAAAGCAGCAACTCTGCATCCTCTTCCGTCATCACTGTCATTACTTGATCACTGCCCGCATGATAAGGACTCATACCATGACCCATATCTCATGTACTTCACCAGCAAAACCGGCTTCTTCAACTTCCATGATCCAACACGTAATGCCACTTATTCACTTAGCATTCCTCCCTTGTTGGATGATGAAATTGGTGAAGTTGAACTTTTTTACGCAAGTCATGGCTGGTTGCTTCTTGGTAAAGGTAGGGAGTCATATTTTTTCTATAACCCGTCAACCAAGGTTAAAATAGACCTCCCTGACACGCTCGAACCGTTGGAGTGGGCATGTTTTTCTGGATCCCCAACATCTGCCTGCTGTAAAGTATATGGCATTTATAGCTGCCATACATCTATCACTCTAATTGCAACGTTACAATTGGGTGAGACACGTTGGTCAATGTATTACCCTGAGAGTGTAGGAGACATTTTTTTTGGTTCCAATTGCTCCCCTGTTGTGCGCAATGGATTCATTTATGTTCTAGGGGAATCTGGAAATCTAGGAAAGTTTTGGCTTACGTCCAAGGGGTTGGAGGAACTGTATAACTGGAAGATCATTGGCAAGCATAATCAAAAACAGTTTTTAAAATTTCAAGATCGGTTTCTCTTGGAGAGTGACGGCAATCTAATATGTGTTGCAACTCTTGAGGGCGGTGAAGTTCGGGTGTTGAGGTTCGATGATTATAATAAGATTTGGCGGAAGTTAGAGAATCTAAATGGGAAATCATTTTATGTTTCTCATAGGACATCCATATCGCGGAAAACAACCGTTAGCGGGACAGGAAACAAGATCTTCTTTCCGAGGTTTTACGACGCTAAAGGGTTATTTTATTGCCTTGCATCGAAGAAGTGGCACAACTTTCCCGAGAGTTTTTCAAGTGAAAATTATTACAACACAAGAGGAATAGTTCACTGCGTTTGGACTGAACTTCCTCATCTTTCTGGGTGTGTTGCATAATCTGCATTTAGTTTCATTCTTTGAATTGTTTTGTTCTATTTAGGAAAAATTGATAGTAATAATCCCAACTATTGGCGGTCCGCTCATAATAATCCCAACTATTGATTATTACAGAATAATCCCAACTTTAGGGACCTTCCGCCAATAATGGTCCCTATGAATAAATTCTTGTAGTTTCTAAAGTGAATGAGATAAGATATAACGAGTAATCCCTATAAATAATCTCAACTTTTAATTTTTACGCTTAATTTCTATTTAAAATTCACTTTTTATAGAGGTAATATATGGTCATGGACCATTATTGGCGGATAGTCTATATAGTTGGGATTATACAAAAATAATCAATAGTTGGGATTATTTTCAGCGGACCAGCAATAGTTGGGATTATTATTTTTAATTTTTCCTTCTATTTATGTCTTTATCTTTTAGCTAGTAGCTCACCCATGCGATGCACGGCAAAAAGCTTTAATACATATAGTTAAATAAACATTCTCAAAAAGCATATTGTTGCATCAATTAAAACAAATAAGTTGAATAACAAACATTAGCTTTACAAATTTTGAAAAACTTCTTTGTAGACAATATTTGTAATGTAATTATAAACTATATGTAAACCAAATGCTCTCGTGATGTAAATCATAAACAAAATACCTAACACATGGAATTTTAGTATCTATCTTATTTTTTTAAGTATCATAAATATACAATTGGTCCCATTAAGATAAGAGGACATCTTAAAAGAGCAAACTTTTCCTCGAAAACAGGACATCTTCCAAATTATTCTCTATTCTCCCTCTCATGGAAGTGAAAGCAAACATGTTTGTTATAAGACATCATATTTTTTAGGAAAAGTTTGCTCTTTTGACATGTGCCGTGAATGAAATCACACAACTTAGCCGGTGGTTGTTTCATGGATGCAATGTTGACTTTACCATGTGTGCAACAATAATGTTGTTTCACATAAGTGTGACTGTGACGAATTCGTTGCTCCTTGTCATTCTCACAATTCACGTTTTCTGTATTTTACATATATTATGTAGTTAGTATAAAATGTCGAGTAATACACACAAACACATAATTTCAATGTATGCTATATAGCACATCGTTAAAATGTTAAAAAAAATCTATGTTTACATAACACGTTATAATTTTAATGTTTGAGATAGACCTATATTTAAGTTGTCTAAAAAGGTCTACAAATACACACTATTTTGCCACAATAAGCCACTCACCAAAATTCCTATTTTGCCAACGTACTAATTCCTTCCAAAAAAACTTTGTCATTTTTAAAACTTTGACCAACCATATATTTTTACTGGAAGTTATTTAAAGATAAAAACATATGAAAATGTTCTCTATTAAAAATATTTTCATAAAAGTATAAATTTATAAATTTCATAATATTCTTCCTTGAAAGTACCTATAATTCCAGTAAACACTGTAGAACTGCTTATAGAGCCCGTTTGGTGACTCTGTTTTTCGATTTATTAGACTTATCAATACTATAGGTGATCATTTAATTCATTTGTCATAATTTTTTTTTGTTAATAAAAGTATTTTACATATAACTTTTCATAAATAAACAGAATTAACCGATGAAACCACTTTAAGAGGTCGTTTGAGTTTGATGTAACGATCCTACTGATAGGTGTGACTGTGAAGCTATGATCGAAACAGGAGCACCCCACTCCGATCGTCAAAGGCCTGCGTAGAAAACTATCGATGAAAAATCGCCGCACTAAACCCTAGGAACAACTAAATGTGTACAGCCCAATTGAAGAAATATCATAGCCCATACATCTACCCAAGCTGATTTCCCGTGACTATGTAAACGGAGCTGCTAGGGTTTGAATGGCCACTGGCCAGTGAGCCTCCAAAAAACCCTGCTTTCTTCCCTTCATTGAAGGGAAGAGTTGTGCTGCAACTTGCCACTTGCCCCCCCCCCTCCCCGTTGAATTTGGTGAGTAGTGATATTTCACCATATTTTAGAATTAAAAGTGGTAGGGATTCGGTACGACCCCCGTTACCCCACCGTTGAATTTGGTGAGTAGTGATATTTTAACTCTTTTTGTTATAATTTTTTTATATTTCATTTATAATATATTTTTTTAATTATATATTTTCAAAATTTTCCAAATTCAAGCAATTTTGATGGTTTAACAAAGTTTCACCAATTTCAACATACTCAACCAACTCAATCAGTTTCAATACTATCAAATGGGCTCTCAATCACATCCTAAGATTGTCTCATTTTTTATTTTTAGTAAATCTCATTAAGATTGTCTCATACTAAAGTTGATAAAGTTTTTGCTGCTTCAAATCATTTTTACTTTATTCTTACTTTATCAATTCAATATTAACCACATAAACTCTCATTTTTTATAAATGTGTCACCTCTCATATGTTCGTGGGACAAAAGTAATACGGAGTATCAAACTAAGATTTAAAATATCATGAAATTTAATGTTTTTAATTTAAACATTTAACATTATTAAAAATCATTATAGGTCCCTTACTAAAAAACTAATAATTTTATTTTTTGAAAAAACAATCATTAAAAATTAGGATTGGAATAAATAAATAAATCAAAATCAATAATATTGACCCAGTATTTTTTATGGTGAAGTTATCATTAAGAATTTAAGAGAGTGGAGTAAAATCACAACTACCAAATAAGCTACATAGTGTGACACATGTAACTCCAAAAGTTACACGTGTGAATTGCATCCCTTGTAACACTAAGGATGTTTGTACTTGGACTCAAATTTGTCCCAGACCCCATATCAGACTAGATCAGACCAGATTAGACCAGACAGGGGCGGAGCCAGGACACTGGGCCGGTACAAAGAATATTTTTGGGAAAAAATTTACTCGGAATTTTTTACCCTAAAAATTTAGACATTTTTAAAATTTGGGTTGGGCCATGGCCAGGGACGGCCACCCCTGTCTACGCCCCTGAGACCAGATCAGACCAGACCAGACTTGAGTAGTTATAAAAATACAAAAAAAACAGACCAGACCATACCGGTTCAGACCAAACTAGACCAGACCATCAAATTATAGTCCAAGTAAAAACATCCTAAATAAGAAGTATTTCCAGGACCAAATTTAACTCTAAAATGTGTGTTATACATGACCAAATTCATAAGACAATTGTCCAATATATGAGTTTTTTTCAAAAATATTACCAAAATAAAACTTATTTACAAAAACATGACTAATAGTTACTACAATGTATTGTTATGGTAACTTAAGTTTAAAAATTGAATGTAATTTACTATGATTTCATTACTACTCTATTCACTAGTAATATTTTTGTAACCAATGATTACTAGGTTAGTGATGAAATCATAGTAGTTAATAGCAATTCCCGCAATTATTTTTCATGATTACAAATGATGAATAATATTGTTCCAACTGATCTTGTTAAACTCTCCATTGTTTTTTGGTTGAAAAACTATTAAATATAATTGTGTTAAAATTTAAAAGCACCAAACTGTAAGATATACTCCGTACTACGTATTAAGTAGGGTAATTATTAACTGATGCACCTTTACTCGCTTGATCAATTTGAATGATGCATCCAAATCAGCGAGAAGTACACATTCTCAAATTTGGTGTGCAACCCTTCTTGGTAAATTATACGTAGTAGATTTATAGATACGGGTGCTAATGCAATGGTACCCAATTCCATGTTTCTACTCAATAGAGGAGATTTGATGTTCAATGAAAATGTCTACATGATCAACTAAAGATTCTTATCGTTAGACTCCTAATGCTCAATAGAATATAATCCATGCTCAGTAAACTTGTCATAACATTTTAATAGGAACACCAATTTTAAAAGAAAGTAAATTACAATGTATGAATTTGATATCACAATACTCATTATTTGACTCTTAATACTCAGTATAATACATCTGATGTTCATTAAAAGTGTATTAATGCTCACATAATGAAAACCGTGATTTTTACTGAAATTACGAAAATATCACCATTTTTAGTTGTGATATCTGCTTTATTGTAATAACACGGTGCTCATTATTAAACTTTTAATACTCATTAAAATTGAACTATTTTCATATTAATTACAAAAGTGCCACCGAATTGTTTTGCTATTTTTTCCTTGGGCCTGTTACTGGGCAGGCTGAACGGTGCTCACCGTACCGCCGGATGTATAATATACATACTCTTCTTCTTTGTTCAATAAGGAAAGACAGAAAGCCAAATCTACCATCAATTTTATGATGTTCTTTAAAACTCCTAAGGATGCTAAAACAACATAAGTTTGTTCCTCCTCAGCTAGGCAGCACTTCCAGGACACAATGAAGTTAAATGGGGTGGGTTCTAATCTACATAACCTACAACAACAGGTTCTAGAAGCGCTTTCCCATACAAAATACAAATATCTGAAAACCTAAAACTGTTATTAAATGCAGAGACTACACACCTTGAGTACTCATAGAAACTACTCAGACATTTGGGTGCTCAAAGGATTACTCTTCAGGTATGCAAGTGTTTTCTTTAAAGCTCTTGGACAACCATATAGCAGTTTCGCGAGGAGATACTTTCCCTGGCCCAAATGGCTTTAGTAAAACACCGAGTTCTTCAAACCTTTCATCTTGCATCAGCCTTGCACTAAATTCAAGTAGACCTTCTAATGCTTCAGCTCTGTGTTTGTAAGAAGACATGTCAAAACGGCGACGCCTTTGGTCTGACGAGGTTCGACTGGATGCACCGGCAGTTGCATTTTGATCGGAACAATCACTTCCATCCTCTCTATCCAATGCCAGCATAGGGTTTGTAAATCCTTGCCAGCCACCAGTGGAGCTCAGTTTATCAGATTTGTTGTCAGAAGTCTGGACTGTGCATTTATCTTTCATAATTGAACAGTTCCCTTCAGGCGACCCACATGAACCTTGCACGGAGGTTGACGAAGTTTTACGGATAGGATGGAAATGGTCTTCATACGAGGCTAAAGGGAACTCAAGCATCTTATCTATTAGGGGGGCATTAACAGAAATATCACGAGATTTGTAGCAATCAAGGACACCATGACTGGCCCTGCGAGGTTCCTCTTGAACAGCGGCTTTGGTGGTCAAGGGCATAGATGCTCTACAAGATGTGGAAACAGATCTCTTCACCAATGTTCTTGAAGTAGGAACCTGCATTGCAAAATTTAAGGAAATAAAGAAGTAAATAGAGGAGATATAATACAGAACCTGCATTGCAAAATTTAAGGGAATAAAGAAGTAAATAGAGGAGATATAATACAACCCCACACCACAGCCCACAACCCTCAATATTTCCTGAAATATAATCCCACAGCCTTCATTTAATGAGTTAAGCATCAACATATATCTCTGTGTGTGTGTGTGAGAGCATCTATGAGTGTGTGTGTGTGCATCTATGAGTGTGTGTGTGTGGAGAGAGAGAGAGAGAGAGAGAGAGAGAGAGTTTATGTGCGACTAAGTTGACAGTGCAAATGTGCTAGAGTTTCTTACTATTGTTATATTTTTTTCGAATTTTCTATCAATACAAGTAGATATGTGGCAATTTCCATCATTTGCAATGGAGCCAAAGATTCATTATTTTTTGGCTTAAGAATATGATGGAATAAAGCAAAATGGCTCACTAAACTGTCTGCGCTTCTTTGTTAT